GGGTCCAGGTTTGCCTTTGCTTGTATGACTGGATATTGTGGGAAAGCAGTGGGGTATTTTTATTTTGGTTTGCTTGGTTTAATTTGGTTTTGGGTTTTTTGTTTGGTTTTATTTTTTTGTCAGAGCAACATTTAATTTTCTGCTGTAATGTCGTGCTGGGGACATGGCTGCAATGCACTGGCAGACACTGATAAGTGACTTACTGTTTCATATCACACATTTACTGAATTTCCAGTTTGAAATGTACAGTCTAGGATGACAGCCAGTCATTCAACCTATTCTTGCCTCAAAGAGTGTAAAAAAAAAACCAGGCAGACAAAAGAAGGAACACCTGGCAAATGTCTTGGGTTTAAAACAAGAGAGAGGTAATGGTATCCCTGCCTTGCTGGGCAGGAGCCCTGGTCCCACCCTGCCAGGCTGGGGCTGGAGACAGCAGCTCCTGTGACACTGTCACATCCCTGGGCGTTCAGTGCTTTCTGTTCTCCCTGACTCAGAGTAATGTGAGCTGCCTTGGAAGATGAATTTAGCTTGGAAGGTGGCCCTGTGGTTCTGTGAAACACCCGTTACTCATTGTGATGGCAGATGATGTGGTTTCCTTGAGAAAACAGTGTGGCAGAGGGATTTGAATATAGAACCAGGAGTGCTGCAGATGAGGTTTCTAATGCTGGCTGACAAGGATTGTCTGTGGGCTTTTTAGTTATTATTATTTGCTTTCAATTCATCAGCTTCAGTTTTGGGGATTTTTTTTGTTCAGTATTTGCATTGTTTAAAGCATAAGGAAATAGTTGTGTCATTGTTCGTTTAAGAAAAATAATACATGTTTGGGTTTCTTCTTTTAGTTCTTTTGTGAAAAGGAATGATGAGGAGGTGTAAATGTCTTTTTAGCATTTAATAATGCCACGGAGGATAATTCAGCACAACTAAGATACAATCTCTATTACTTACTTGAAGTAGTATTGACAAAGAACTGGGATGCAGGGAAGCAATTGTTCTGCTTAGATTAGGGATGCTGCCTTTTCTGCTTTGTATTTCATCTCTGAGATGGGACATCAGCTTGTTCTCCTCAGATCATTGTGTTGCTTGGATTTAGTGCATGAGTTGAGTGCCCCAAAGCCTGGGAGGAGCTACCAAAAACCATTTGACCATGTTAGAGCAGATCTGAATTTTCTGTTGTATTTTAGGGAAGGTTTGAGCTGTAAGGAAGCGGAGCAGTGATGTTTGGGAGCTCAGGAGCACTCAGCCATCACTGATGTAGCTGTAGCTCTGGGAGATCCAGGGGCTCTCTCAGACCCCAGGCTGTGCCACAGCAGTACTGTTACCATGCACAGCTCCTCAAGGATGTGCTCTGGGCTAGCCTGCTTTGTTTCAATGTTTCACCAGATAAAAGAATGAACTGAGCAAAATATTTATTTTTTTTTACTTTTTAGTATTTTGGTTCTGATTAAACCCAAATAAGTCAATTGGATAACTTATGATTGCTTCAAAGCTACACACATCAGACTTTGTATTCTCAAATTACTTAATTACAACACAATTTACCCTAACTCAGCTTCTAATTTGAAACGAGTGCTGCTGATATTCTTGACTGCAGTAAGATCTCTTGAAGAATCACATGTTGATTATGTGGACACCAGGCCATGATTATTTGAAAATTCTCACCACAATCAATGTGTACTAAAATTGATTGGAATTTGATATGTTGTCTGTTTGTGAATTTAAATGAGAAATTTAAAAAAAAAACCTTAAAAATCCAAAGTGTGGAGGGTACCAGTATTTCAGATTTCCAGGTCTCTGATTTTCACTATGGTTTTAAATGACTTTTCCTTAAATCCTAAATGTTTGAGCTGGTATGGTGTATCCTGGTAAAATGACTAATTCAGCTAATAATTGAGAGAAGACATAATTTCCTCAGTATTCTCCCCCAGACCAACACTGGCTACTGCTATATCAAAAATAAAATCTATTTCCTGATGTAAAAAGCCAGATGTACTCCATCGAGACACTCATTGTGTTTAAGATTCCAAACCAAAGGCAATTTCCAGGGGGCCAGAGCATCTTGTGCCATAGGATCCACCAGGCCAATCCCTTGGGATCCTTTCTTACGGGACAAGTGATTTACTCCTCTCAACTTCAGAGCCTCACATTTGCAGGTACTGCTGGTGAAGTTCTAATCTAGGCAAAGATGCTCGTAAAGAAGTGCTCAGATGTTCAGATATGAATCCAATTTTATATCCCTGGCAAGTTCAATAGTGCTCGGCTCCTGCTTTTGATTCATTTGAACAGGTTTATGAAGAAGCAGCATATTAAGCTTTTATCTCTCTCATATATACACAAGGGTGTGCACACTCCCTAGTTAGTACTTTTTATATATATAAGCTTTTATACATTCTAATAGGAGCTATATAATATCTATATGATGTTAATATTGGTGTTTGTTTATTTTTCTGTATTAAATGCTACATTTGTCTTGCTCCAGATTTCAGAGTTTTTGCACTGCAGTGCACTTCAGTTACCTCTGCACAGCTCATTTTGCAAAGTATCTTACACCTGTGTGGGAACTGAATTTTGAGGCAGATTAATTAATTTGTGGTAATTTGATTTCAGCCCTTGATTCCTTAATTTTACAGAAATGCTGTTCATTGTTGTTGATGTGCACTTGGTTCACTTTTAAGAGCAGCCTCCATGATATTGTGGTGACAAGATTCAGAGTCTTTATTTACCTGGTGCTACTGTGGCTCTCAGAGCAAAACTGTTTTGTTTATGTAGGTATGACTTTTTCATGCTTATCCTTGAGAAGGAAAAGCTGCATCTAAATTAAGTTGAGAAAACATGAAGCACATGAATCTTTTGAAGTAACTGGTAACACAAGGGCACATATTTGTATTTTATCACTCATAAATATTCACTTATTGAAATCCAAGCATGCTTTGTTTAAAGTCAGAACTGACTAGGAGAGTAATTCCACTTAAGCTTCTGTGCATGTGGATATTGTCCAAACACATTTTCTTCCTGCTGTGTCTTGCTCTGCATGCTGTTGTGGAATGGCACAGGACCTGGTATAGATTAGAGATTTGATGTTCTTGGAGGTCCAAATGGGGGTTTTAAACATCAAACTTTATTGGCTAAACAGTCTCTTTTATGCTTAGATAAGACATAGCCAAGGATAGTGAGGAGAGCTGCATATATGATGGCCTTAAAGTTTAGGATATGTTCATGAAAGGTGACTTTGTATTTAAAGCAGTTGACATTCCCACAGGATGCACGTTCGGGCAACAGACATTCAAAAAAGATAAAGAAACCACTGTGTAGATTTGAGGCAACGTGTGGAGGATGCAGAATTTATTATAATTCATTTCTTAAAGTTTCTTGTCAGAGGACAAGCTGTACTTGCCTTGTGTGAGTCCCAGTAAACCTGGGTGTGTTCCTCACCAGCCTGTGCTTCCCCAAGCCCTCACAAACTGAAGAAAATGAGCAGGCTCTCTCCAAACCTGCTGTTGTCCCTCTGTTCCCTGGTTGTGTTGCTCTCCCTGGGGCAGGCAGTCTGCAGAGCAGTGCCAGGACAGAGCTGCCCCTGGGCTGTTGCACAGAACCAGAGTCAGGTTGGAAAAGCCCTTTAGATCCTCAGGGCTGTCCCTTAACCCAGCCCTGGCAGGTCACCACTAACCATGTCCCTGACCCTGCTGCAGCTCAGGGCTCCATGCCACTGGAATTTCCTCCTGCTGCTCTGGGGTTTGGGTTCAGGATGTTATTTCGTGTCCTGTATTCTTTTTGTTTATTTGGGGTTTTTTATAAATATTGGCCTTAATTAATTTACAGTAATTACTCAGTTCAGCAGCTTTTCCAGACTTCTTTGTTTCATATGACAAAGATCAGTCCTGCTGCAAATGATGTTCTGTGATGTTTTCTTTTTATTATTTGATTCATTAAGTATAGAATTTGCTTCCATTTCTAAAAACAAACACGCATCATTAGAATTATCATTTCCCTAGTATTACTGATTAATGTTCACTAGAAAACAACTTGATACAATGTCTAAAGCACACAGTTCATAATAGTGTTTGTTTTCTTTATTCTCTTTTGTTGTTTTTATTAAACATAAATTATTGCAATGTGTGGAATTGCACATGAACTTATTTACCAGTCTACATTTATTTTTAGAAAAGTGACAATGTTAGAATGACACCTGCTTATCAGATTTTCTATTCATGTGCCGTTATTTTAATCCATTTGCCTTAACGATTAGAAAAAAAATATTTTTCATTACCAATGCAAACATGTCAGTACTCAAAGAATGAGAAAAGTTTATATCCTTCTTTATCACTAAAAAATATCATCTGTCATTTTTCAACGAAAGAGATTGAAGGAATTGCATAATTTCCAGATCTTGCTCTGTGTTTGTGGCATTGCTAAATAGAAAAATACAGGCCAAATCCTGATCACATGGAATAACATGAAAGATACCATCACTGCCTTGTTTCTCTCTTTTCATATTTGGAGTTTAATCTTCTTGTGCTGGCACAAATCCTGTTCATTTGAAGCTGATTGGTAAAATACAGTGAATGAAAGAAGATTGATTTCTCTGATTAAGTTTTATAGGGGCCTAAAGACCATATTATCAGAAGCTATTTTTAATCCATTACAATTCATCTGCTCAAAGTCCCTGATAGAAACAGGGTGGGTAAATTTCCTCTTGGTAGATGTAGGGGCTGGTCAAGCTAGGCTGCTGTCCTGGCTGCTCCACTGAGACTTTCTCCAGGGAGAGTCCAGAAAGAAATATTTTTAAATTTAAATGCAGTCTTTGTCAAGATGCCAGCTGTGCAGGCTGGAAGCACTGTTTTGTGTTGCTGATCTCAAACTATCACTGATCTGGTTTGCCCATGCTTTGATGCCCACAGGTCCGAGAGGCACAGTCTCTTTTCCCAGGCAGTGGCCCCTTGAAAATGCCGAGGAGAGCAGTGTCACCACACACATTTGTGATTTGTTTCTCTTTTCTGTTTTAGGCCCTTCAAATCATCACAGCCAGTCAACGCTGAGACCACCTCTCCCTCCTCCTCACAACCATTCCCTGTCCCATCATCATTCCTCTGCCAACTCCCTCAACAGGAACTCGCTCACCAATCGCCGGAACCAGATCCACGCGCCCGCTCCGGCGCCCAACGACCTGGCCACCACCCCCGAGTCCGTGCAGCTCCAGGACAGCTGGGTGCTCAACAGCAACGTCCCCCTGGAGACCAGGTGGGTGGTGTGGATGGACACCCTGGGGGATGCTGCTGATGCTCCTCCCGAGTGCACTGAGATGACCCTTGGTTTGTTGGGAGATGGGCTTTGGCATCCTTTGTGTTGGGGTGGTTTTCCTGACACAGCACGTGGGTTGAGTGGCATCAGAACACCCAGCAGCCCAAACCTGCTTTGCACGGAAGGTGCACAGTGAATAACTCTGCTCACATCCCATTTTAAAGCCTGTTTTCACTTGAACCTTCCTTGCATACACAACTCATGCGATTAGTACAGCATATTTATATCACAGGCTCAAGGACGACTTACTTAGAATTCATATTGACTGTGCTGCTGAAAAATTATACATTTTGCCTTTCCTGAAGCAACAAACAAGGGCTCACTTGACATTATGCATTTTGGGAGACTTTGAGAAACAATCCGAGATTCATGACTGACAGTACTATAATTTTAATTTATACCTCATCCAGCATGCAAGTTCATTTTAATCTCTTCTGTACATGTTAACAGCTTGATGCCTGTGGGGCAAACAGCAGCATATAAATGAAAAGGTGCAGCACTTAGGCCTGACAGAGAAATAAATAAATAAATAAATGGCTGACATGCTGCTGGTCTAAATATTCTGGTTTGTTGTCATTTGGGGTATGGAATGTCAAACATATTTAACTTGCACTTTAAATAGCAGAGTTGGCAGAGCTGATCTCTCAGAATTTAAAATTAGCCGTTGCGGTGCTGAATAAAGCGCTTGGAATAGCAGGGTGGTGTTGCTTGCCCAGAGAGTGATAAACACAGCGAGCAGGTGGAGGAGCTGGGCTGCTGGGAGCCCTGGCTCGTGCCAGGGTTTCAGTGCTTGCTTGCCACAGCTCCTGGGATGTTTGGTTTGGTTTGCAGCCTCCCAAGGACTTTAATGCAGCTTTGCTGGGTTACACCCTGAGGAGCCACGTCTGGGGTCGTTACACACCCATGCAGCATCAGCCCTGCCCCTCCAGTATTTGATTAAAGACTGCAGGTCTGGTTTGGAGCTCTGGCAGGAGCTGCTGTGGCTGGGCTGGAGCTGACACCACCGAGGCTGTTGTTAATCAGTGGTGGGTTACAGCTCCATGGGGAGCAAATGAGCCTGGAAAGGGCAGGGAGGCTGGGCTGGGCTGGGATGTGCACAAGGGGCTGCCCTCACTTTGTCCTGCTCTGCTAAAATGGGAACATGGGTGCCACAAAGAACTGGAAAGCAAATTTAGGTTTACAATGCCAAGATGGCCAAAAAGGAAAACAAAATGAATTCTTGCCTACTGAAGGTTTGGAGCTAACTTTGCAAAAAAAACCCCAAAACAACAACAACAAAATAATAAAAAAAACAAACACAAAACAAAAACAAACAAACAAAATAAACCCAGCTATTTTATAGAACTTAATTTGGGCATCTTGAATTTGTTATTTATTGCTAAGAATTATGAAATAGGAGTGTTGGTCCCGTTCAGCCCAGATTGGTTCTGCTGTGTGGTTCATTGCTCAGGATTAGTGCCTACCTTTACTTCTGGTGTGCCTGGTCTGCCTCTTCCTGTATGGAATTGGGTACAACAATACCTGAAATGTGTCATTTCTGAAGGCCCAAGACTGTCTCAATTCACCAATCACTTTAACCTGGAGGGAATTCCCTGGGATACTCACAAAAGGATTCTTTGCCATAATGCTGGCATCCCTGAGCCACAGCAGTGGGCATTTGTCTGGCTGGGCTTTTTACTGTCTGCTTTTGTACCTTTTCCCAGCCAGAGATGACTGTGAGTGCCACTACTGACTTTGGTTCTTCTCTTATTTCTTTTCCTGCAACCTCTGGGAGTGTGTATGGACATGTTAATGACAAAAGGTTACTTTGTGAATACTGTTATTTTTGGAGCTTGCAGGATGCCCGACAATTAATTGGAGCTTTTTGGAAGACAGGTCTGTCACAGGCAAGCATTAAGCTATTAGAAAATGTCCTGGCAGAATTGCTGTGTTCCACGACTATTCCAAAGCTGCTTCAGGATCGATTTTAGTTCTTTTCTGAAATTACACACCTGACAGGACTTGATGACAAGTTTCATCACAAGAATATTAACTCAGAAGATGACTGAAATTGATGCTTGTGAAATCATTGAGACTTTCAGAATTAGCCTGTAGTTCTTTCACTTTAAAACCGGTGTTTCATCTACATTCATACCAATAGCCACAAAAAAAAAAATAAAAAGCATCTTTTTGTTAATTTTTACTTCAGCCTTCACGTTAAAGCCTGAGCTTGTTGCAAAACATTGACCCCTCTCACGCTGCCTCTTCACAGTGCACTACTCTTAATTTTTTTTATCTTCTTAGATGTTTATTAATCTCATTAGAGGAGTGCTCAGGAGGCAAAGCCAGCACTGACAGCACCTGCTGTATCAAGACAGGGTTTCATAACTCTTTGTTTTCTTCTTTCAGTTACCTTCAGTAGATTCTGCTCTCAACAAAAATGATGTGCAAGGGGTCACGTTACTGATTATGAAACAAAAAGAGGCACCTGAGCTGTCTGAAGGGAATGCTTTGTGTTAGCACTACAAAACTCAGATCACAATTTAGATTCCAGATGTCTCTTTATCTAACAGTACCAAGTTCTGAAATCATTGAATAATACAATACACGTCTGCATGTTGCTTTTTTTTTGTTTTTTTTGTTTTTTTTTTCTGGTTAGAATATTTTAACCTTCCCTTTGTTCCTTTGCTGTCTTAGGCAGTTTGGGCTAAATTCAGACTGTTTGGAGACATTGCATTTTCCAAATATATCCTTTCTCTATCTCTTGTTTCAATATTGATTGGGGGTTGTTAATCACATTTGGTTTATTTTTACTGTTTGCACATGTTTTCATTTGGCCTTTTCAGGCAACTTTACCCAAATCTTTGTGTATCCTTTGTGGTGCTGTATTTGTTACGTAATTGTGTTTATTTGTATTGCAGCAGCTCATTGCTTCTGGTGGAATTATGAGTTTGCAACATGCCTGTGTAGAGTTCCAGTTGTATTTATTTTGAGTCATAGAAGGGTTTGAGTTGGAAAGAGCTTAAAGGTCATCATGGTCAGGGTTACCTTCACTAGGTCAGGTTGCTCAAAGCCCTGAGTGGCCTGACCTGGAACACTTCCAGTGATGAGTGCTTGATTTTGGTGTGCTTGTTTCTGGTTCAAGGCGGACAACCAGGGGCTGTGCCTTCCCTGCTGTGCTGCTGCTTTATGGCTGCATCAGCCTCCCAGGCTGGGAGCTACAGAGCTACATAATTGTTCTGTTTTCTTTGAAATAAGGGCCTGTAATGGAAGGGTTGAAATATCTCTAAGTAAGGACACAGTAATGCATGGCTGTAGCATTTTTATGGTGCTATTTTTATGGTTCATTTCTGCAGTATTTAGCTGCTTTACCTTTAGGCTCGGAGCTGCTGTTTAATGCTCTTTAACTTTTATTGTCCTCTTGCAGTGTCTTTCAAAGCATCTCCTCCTCCTCCTCCTAACAAAGTTCCGATTTCTACCTTCTCCAGTTGAGAGGTGCTCCTTTATTGCTGCTTTAATCATTGCTTTCCAAGGGGATGTGTGATGAAAATACTGCCCTTGAACATCCCAGGGTGGGTCTCGCTCCTTCCTGACAGCCGGAGAGGCAGCTCTGCTTTAAAGCTGGGAATGCTTTGAGGGCACAGGGAGAAAGGAATGGCTTTGCAGGGGAGGTTCCCATGGCTCCTCACACAGCAGGAATTCTCTGGGATGAAAACCCCACACTGGCACTGGGATGACTGGTGAGGGAGGAGAACAGAGCAGCTTCCGTGGATGGATGTTTCACTAAGATTGCCTGATTTACTAATGCCACTTTCGGTACTTTTTATTGATGTAAAATTAATTGTTACCATTATAACTAATAATACTTAATTCAGGAGGAAAAAAAGGCTAGAATTAAATAGAAATTACTCTTATTCTTCAGTTCTCATAATTAGTCTCATAATTTGAAATATTTCCAGTCCAAACCTTTCAGTTGCAAAGATAATTTTGTCTAATAATCTATGTCTATAATTTCTTTGTGCTTGCTCACGAGGATGTGATGCTAGGCTTCAAGGAAGCCTGTAACATAATCATGTTTCTTCTGTGTTTCAGGAGAAAGGATGATGGCCACCTTTCTGGTGATTATGAAATATGTTTCTTTAGATCTCGTGACCTGACAGACAGTACAAGACCAATGGTCCAATGTCCAAATCTCAGGTCATTTGTGCAAAGTGCAGTTTAAAGATTGAGAAATCTGAAAATTTAACCTGAAAAGAATTCCTATGGACCTTGAAAGAACTCTTCAAAATATTTGCCTTTTCCTGGGGTTCAAGCTGTATTTGTTACTTTGCCAGTCTGATTCCAGCACAGTCACTCTGGGTGAGCCTGAGGACAGCAGTGAGAGATGAAAGGATGGAGCAGCAATGTGAGCTGTATCCCAGTGTGCACCATGCAGTGCTTGAACTCAAAATCGTGGGGTTTCACAGCTGGGAAACATCTGCACCCAGTGCTCCAGTTCATTTCAGTGCAGAGATGAGCACAGTACACCGAGCCTGTGCACAGTCCAGGCAAAAAAACCAAGAATAGGGCACATGAGGAGAGGGATTTAACAGTGGGGGAAAGCAACATTATTATTTTTTTTAAGAAAGAAATTAACTATCTGAAATGTTGTTATCACCGTGTTCACATTTTGCATCATGCTCGGGTGTCAAGATCAGCTGCAGAACTCCTGAACTGAATATGTAAACTTGAAGTTTCTGAACGTGTTGAAGTTCCAAGCTACAGCTGCTCTCTACAATTGTCTGCCTATTTTCAATGGTGTCTCAATATTTTGATATCTTTGTACATGATGCAAAACGTTCTGGAACAGAGCAGTGAAACAAAATTTCCTTTCCTTTTGTTAATGCAAATTCCTAGGATATATTGGGCATAGCAAACAGCTACTTGGAACAGTGAAACAAGTCCTCACTCTAATTTTGCTT